CTTCTTTCGTTTGATATATATATTATATATATAAATAATGAAATAAACGAAATAATAAAAATTTTCGCCTGCGGCGCTTTTCCCATAAAAATCAATACTTCGATAAATAATGAGAATTTTTAATAAAAAATCGCGCGATCAATACTTCGATAAATACCTGTAAACCATAAAAGTAGCGCTGTCATGGTATAGCGAAATTTGCTATTATATTTTGGTTAGAATATTTTATTTAGGTGAAAGTAAAAAAAGGAGTGTATAGTGTAAACTGAGTGTAATAGCGCAAATGAAATGTGACATAAAGTGGCAATACCAGCGATTTGAGGATATAACAAGGCACATTAAACAGGTAGTATCAGTAGAGCAAAAACAACATTTGCGTGTATTTTGTTGTTGCTTCTGGTATCGAAAGTGTCAAAAACTGTTCTGAATTTTTTCTTCTAAATCAAAGCGTGCCATGTGAAATACAAAAAATTATAAAAAATAAAAAATTGAAATTGGAAAAAATAAAAATTGATGCAACTTTCTTTCCTAGTAAATTTGTTTGCTTCTCGAAGCATTGATCCATCCTTTGCAAGGCCCAGTAATCAGCGGTCGTGCTGCAGAGTTGGGCGAACGTTCCAAAAGCTGCTATTCAATCGCTTGTTTTGTATGGAAAAAGGTTTCACAAGCAAATGGATTTTAACAATTTAGAATTTTTGTGAGAAAAAATTCAAAATATTTCACATTTTCGAGACCAAATAATTTGAAAATAAATCAAATCAGCTGCTCTACTGATACTACCTGTTCAATGTACCTTGGGTTATAATAATTTTGGCAGGCGCAAAGTTTGTTTACTCTGTTTTATCAACGAAATATATAAAATAAAAGTGAATAAATGATTTTGTTTGCATAAAACAATTACCAGAGACGTTTTATTAGTGGAAACTGGTGATTTAGTGCATTTCTGAAGTGGTAATTGCTCATTGAAAACAACGAAATTTAACAAAAGTTTATTGTTTATAACTTTTAAGTGGTTAAAAATATTAGCCCTCCCCTCCAGATTGTTAATATGGGGACCTAAAAGCGTCGTTTGGTACCCCTCCCGACTTTTCCGGACCTTTTTTTTAGGGGTTGTTACCCTATACTAGAGAATTACCATATATTAATGTAGGCTAGGGTTGCCGGACGTACTGCTTTTGGGAGTAAACGTACTCCTTTTTATTGCAATGTACTCCCATGTACTCCCAAAAAAAATATCTGGAAATCCTTTATTAGTTTTGTACTTCTTTTGTACTCCTTTTTCCAGCTATTAATTTTTTATCATATACAGAGTGTAAAATAATAACTGTTGCACAATTGGCCTTTATAGATTTTGCGAAAAAAATAGTTCATTGTTAATTATCCACAGATTTTACTTCAATTTTATTAATTTATTTTTAAATTTTAACGTTCTTTTCGGTTTACCGGCGATAAACACTTTAAGAGAAAAGCGCAAGTAAAAAAAGTCGTTATTGTATAGTTTTTAAATTTAACCTTCATTTGGGTTTACCAGGGGGTTTTGGAGAAAAGCGCAAGCGGCACGCAAGTCTTCGTCGACCCTACTAAGCTGGCATTTCAGCGTACTATTTTATATATATTTAAGGAAAATTTGAAAGTTAGGGGGGAGGATCGAGCACCTCCCTGCCCCTACCTGGCTACGCCCATGGATAGGGCGTTTTGAATCGGCAGCTGAGCTAGGGCGTTTTTGTAGCGAATTCTGAAAGAGGGTTGTCTTGAAAAGTTTTCTGATATAAGGCGGTTTTCAATCAAATTCTGTAATAGAGTGCTTTTGAAAAGTTTTCTCAGATAGGGCGTTTTTAAACCGGCTGCCGAGATAGGTCGATCTACCACTCAGGTGTCGCAAAAGGTATGTCACAGATAACGCCTGAAAATTACTTTCGCTTTGTTTCATATAAAAGGATGAAAAGTTATCGATATAAGTAGGTATCGATACATTCGGTTCACTCATATAAGTATTATCGAAATAGCGGTTTGAGTAAACTCATTTGAGTAGGTATCGATACTTTAATGGTATCGGAGCGTCCCTACCACAATATAACCAGTAAACAACCTTCGGTGAATTTGGCGACTGCCTTCCTCGGGGATGAATATGCTAGGGATGAAATTATTGGTACACACGCCTTCCAAGCACGCAGGGTTGCTTTTAAGAAACAAAAAATAATTAACTCCAAATAGTTTCAAGAAGTATAGTGTAAAACGAACTTTATTGAATAATTCCACATAAAATGGTATACATAAATGACTCATTTTCTAAACGATTTAAATAAAACGCATTTCATAAACTTTTTTGTGCAAACGGCATTTGCGAATTGATAGAAAAGTACTACGGATTGTAAATTTTTGTTAACTATGAGGTGAATTAAAATTTTCAACCCGGCCTGACGGTTTTGAAGAATTTGTTTGTTCTAATTTTATTACTAAGGCGTCTAATAAACGCATGGCTTTTAGTTCTTGAAGAATAAATGTCAGTAAAGACAAGTCTTTTTTGTATAATTTCTGATTTTTATTGCTCAACTTCTTTTGCACCAGAGCAACTGTCAAAAATTTCCAGCAGTAAAAAGTTACGAATTGGCACAGGAGAAATGTAAAATTTTCTAGCCATAATAAAAAGTGTTTTCAACATTGAACTTTTCTACTAATTCACATGAAATTACTATCTCAACGCTCGGAGCGCTGCCACTGAGGGCCTTTGCCAACTGATAAAAAAGAGAAAATTTGGAAAGACCAAACGAAAATGTTGAGATTTCTCGTTGTGAATACGAATGCCATAGTTTTTACCTAGCTCGTGGGACTACGCAAAATTTTGACAGCTTGTAAATATGTATACACATAAAGTTGTTGGCGGTAATAAAGAGTCAAAATCAAAATGGAGAAAAGAACAAAAAGCGTACGTTAGTTGTCAGTTATAAAATAAATCCAATTTATTTGCGAATATTTGTTTATTCTATTTATTGAAAGGCAACCACGCGGAAAAGCTTGTGTTAATTATATTGATAACAGAACCTGGTAGCTCGCACGTTGTCTAAATTTTTAAGTTATATTGATAACAGAACCTGGTAGCTCGCACGTTGTCTAAATTTTCAAGTAACATAAAATCCACAAAAGAATACATTGCTTGTATTACCATCAATACGCCATGTATAAATTTTAACAGCACACAATAGTTGCGATCCCGTACGAGTCCGGACTAGTCAGAATCAGTCAGATTTTACTGGAAATCGATCCCGTACTCGGTTCTCTGACTATTGAGAGGACAAAAAAGAGAGTAAATACGGTTCTCTGTCTGTCAGAAGTTACCAATTTTAGTCCGAGAATTTTTTGCTGGTAAATTCTGGTAAATGTATCAAACGATCAGCTGTAGTGTGTTTGGCAACCAAATTGTAAACAAAAGAAAAGTGCACTCTGCTAATTCATGTTGAAAAGTAATTAATTACTTGTTTAAGTGGATTCTAATGAACTTGAAAGTATTTTTGGTTATTTACATGTGTGAGCTGAGTGTGTTTACATACAAAATAAGCAAAAATTTACAACCAAAATTTGGAGGTTATGTTGAAGTTGGCAGAAGTTACAATTTTTTACTAGAAAGCGATCCCGTACTTCTCAATGTTACTCACTCGCTCTGAGCGAATTTTTATTTTTTGACAGTTTTACTAGTCCGAGTCCGAGGAATACGGGATTGCACCTAATAATAGAGCTTTCGCACGAGCGTTTGTTTGGTTTTTCAACACCATTTATAATTTTCTTTTAATAAAATCACGATTTGTCAAATGCTTAAATTTATTTATCTAATAATAATGCAGCACACAACCCTGAAATCTAAGAAAAAGTCTGAGGAAGGCCATTAAATAGCAGCACACAACCCCGTGCCTTCCTCAGGAGTGAATATAACTACAACAACAACGACTACTACAACAACAACCCAAAAAGGTTGGTTACTGTCTATACTGTGGTCCCTACTTATCTCCCAAAGCTGGCAAATGCAAATAAGGATTAAAACCAATTAATAAAATTAAAGTAAAATATTTACAAAGTTAACAAAAAAATACTTTGTTTAACAAAATCTATAAAGAACCCTTTTATTTTTCAAAAAACCTGTGCGACAGTTATTATTTTACGCCCTGTACTTTGCCATTCATATTGTGGCAAACACCACTTAGTAAGCAAAGTTAAGTGTGATAGTGAAAAAGTATAAGCATGGCCGTAGCAAGGTAGGTGCAGGGCGCTCGGATATTAAAATCAGAAAAATATTAAAATATTTATAAGACTTAAATTAAAAAAAAATGGCCATACATTCAGGAAGAGTCTGGAATTCTCTCCTATAAGGGCGGTCATTTAAGAGGCGGTGAGCGAAGGGGGAGTGGGCGTGGCACCTCCAACCCCCACCTAGGCGCCCTATGGGTCCCAGGGACCCCTTAGAAAAATGGCCAAAAATCACAATTTTCACTTGCGTCCAGTGTAGAATTCGGTTAGGGATTATAACCCTTACTACGTAGAATCCTCCTTTCTGTGTTACCGATGAAGAGAGGAGGAACCCCTCTCTTAGTCAAAAGTGTATAACATTTCTTGTGGATTATATCCAGCTTCGATATCCAAAGTATTTTTGCACTTAACTCCTTTCTGCGTAGGCGGCCTTCGGCCGCGCTTAGGGAGCATAACCCTTACTAAGTGGAATTCTCCTTTCTGTGTTGCCTAGGAAGAGGGGCAGGCACCTCTTTGTTATCAAGAGTATATAAAAAAAATTGTGACTTTTGGTCATTTTTCTACAGGGTCCCTAGCGACCTGTAGGGGCCCTAGGTGGTTGAGAGTAACACTTTTGTCAATGGCGGTT